AGATCTCTGATATAAAATCACTGATATCCGATTCAGCTGATTATTCAGTATCAGAGCCGATATTGATCCACGTATCGTATCGGTGCATCTCTAACCAGGATAAGAGGACATTTCATATCATTCCTAAGTTCAAACTGCACACTGCAGGTCAGCGTGCTAAAAAAAAAGACCCAAACAGTTTTACCTACTTTACAAAATATATCTCCTTCGCTTTAAGGAAACATTTCTGGCTGAGAGAAACACAGAAGGAGTGGCAGCATTTCTAACGAAGGCTAGATCTCGCTCATCAACCAGCTACTATCTGATCGATCGACTCTCAGTGTGACTGTAGAGAAAAAAGATTCTTCTCTTCTGTTAAAATTTTTTTACATTTGAACACATTTAGAGCAACATTCTTTTTGAACATCCTTCAACAAAAAGTGTAGAGAAAAATGTTCATTTTCCAGAAGAGTGTTTCATTACAGCTAGGGCTGGTAACCTAGATATTATATATAGCAATGGTGAGAAAATTACTCTAGCTGGTTTTAAAAAATATATTACTGCAATTTAAAAATTTTAAACTAAAAAATCTATTAAATAAAAATATGTTTAAATACAGAAAACCTATAATAATAGAGGCTATAATCTTCCTCTGCCTGCTGTCACTCATTTTTTTGAACACGCCTCATCAGCTCTCTGCAGAGTTATCTTCCTTAATTATGCATCAAGTAATTAAATAACCAAAACTGCAGCAGTTGCTTTTCCAATATATATGAGGTCAGTTCAGTCACACCGGAAATATGTTTCAAGTTTGTGTTTAGGTTTATAACACACCATTTTTATTATTGTTGAAATTTAACAAGTCAAAGATTTTGCTTTAATCACAACAAAAATACCAACACCTTACTTCTGTACAAACCACTGTCCCATTTATCAGCTCAGGCTGATCAACTTCCGTTTTTGACAACAGCTTAAAGGAAACAAAATATTTTTTTTTTGAGCCAACCTCAAATCCATTCATTCCCATAATGAAGCTGATAACAGTCGACTTTACATTTTAACTACCCGAACATAACTAAAACTCAATAAAACCAATAGAAAGATTTCTAACAAAACAAAGGTTGTGTGAATGTTTCTATATCCACTCTTACACTGAGAATAGAAGTCAGTAATATAATAAATCATTTGGAAATGATGGTTATCAGAAGGAAGCTTGGAAGAGGACAGAGGACTGAAGCCGACAGCAAAGAGAAACATAACAAGCATGTTTTCTCTTAAGGATGAAAGATCTGGAACAGGAAAATATAGAAACGCATGACAAACGAGACCCAGATGAAACAGAGGATTATTTATTGCCCTGAGAGCTGAAATTGGACAGAAATGTCAGTGGTGGTATAAAGAGATGGAAGGATGAGAAGAGACAGGACGGGGAATCCAGCTGTACCTCTGTCCTCTGGCCGGGGGAGATGAGGCTTCCTCTCAGCGCTGGGGAGTTCTGGCTTGGAAGCTGAAAAACGAAACATGGTCCAGATTGTCAGCGACCCAACTCGTTCAACAGGCGACAGTGAGAATGAACAGCGCCCCGCCGTCTGTTCTTTAACACGTTAGAAAACCTGCTGCCAGGTACCAGTTAGCATCATACGCATAAGCATCCAGGAGTTTGTCAGACAGATGAAATGTCTCAAGAAGAGGAAGTGAGCAAAAACAGTCGTCTTGGAAGCCCCCAGGAAACTGCAGCAAAGTGCACGTGTAGCACGGTATGAGTGAAAACACAGCGCTGCTTATGAAGCAAACAGGAAAACCTCAATGCTTCTGAGCCTTTAGCACCTCAAAAAGTGGCAGCACTGGTTTACAGTAAGCAATTATAGCATATACTGTAATTGAAAAGAAAATGTAAATATATCTCAGCTCTGGAAGTGAAAATCTTGTTCGACACGGACAATAAATATTATCATGAGGTTATATTTTATGGCTCACGATGAAGATCCGATTATATGCAGATGATACATGTATTTTCTCTCCTTTTATATCAAATTATGGAGGAAGGAAGCTAAAACTGAACTTGCATTAAACTTCTGTGGTGATATTGTGGAGCCTCAAACATCATTTGGGTCCCCAGAAATAGATTTAATCACCAAGTGTGTACACAGCCAGGAAATTTGACTTTGGTTCCAATTTGATCACATTTTCAGTTAAAACTGTCAAAAAAAAAAGGAATTGAAATGTTTGGGTTTCGTTTTGTTTTCGTTATCTATATATAAATATGCTTTTACAAAAGAGGAACCAACGACCGTATTAGTGCAAAGTGCATGGTACCAGTCAGACTGTTGGTGTTCAGAGTGTGAGCTGGAGGTAGAAACTGTTTCTGTGGCGGCTGGTTTTTCATAAATGGTGCTCTGTAGAGTCAATCTGAAGGTAAACAAGTCTGAAGAGTGTGGGAATCTGGATGGAAATTGGAAAGTGGAGGAGCCTTGTTGCAGCAGGTGTCACTTATTTATAACAACTGGCCACAAAGTGAAGCGCTTGTCTCTTATTGGCTGAAAGAGATCAAATGCTCATCGGTGGAATGACTGCAGAACAAGCTGAATAGAACAGAGGTACGAGATGTGAAGAAGTGCACACCACTCCAAATTGCACAAAGGCAGATTCTGAGGTCCTCTGTTTTTTTGTTTTGTTTTTTAAATAGAGCTGGAACGCTAATTCTACCAGTCAGACTGTCAAAGGGAAGCTGTGGGATTGCGTTTGGTTATGATGGAGAGCAGCAACAGCTCAAATAGTTTCATATTGATTAATGTTTCCAATCCAGCTCAGATCCACAGCCTTACTGTGATCTGCTCAAACTGATCAGTAAAAACCCCAAGAATATAAAAATATATATTTAGCCCTGCACCAGATTAAAATCACTAGGAGGGGGGAAAAGGTCTTGTTTGCTGATAAGATGAAACATATATTTATGATGTTTACTTTTAAACAGCAAGGCTTAATGTCGTAGGGAAATCATATTTAAATGTCAAATCATTCTGGCTTAAACATGTATATAAATGTACTCTGTATCAGATAATATTTTCCCAAAATTTAGGAAATTTCTAATTTTTTTATAAAACCCTGTCTTAAAATCTGTGGGGGGGTTTCTTCGTTATCTCATGCAGGCCAGTTATGTCAGCCTGAACACCTAAATTCGGCCAATCATATATCAACGGTCATCTGTCAAACAAATGTTTTTGGTCAAAGCATCTTGATTCATATGTCGCAGCTAATATACGCAACAGTTGAAATCAGAATCCTTTCCTTTCCCATTGAGTTCCGTCCCAGTGTAACAGGGATGGACGTCTGTGTCTTCGGCAGGCGTAGAGCTAACAGAACTGGCAGCGTTGCGAGCGTACGGCTGGAAGCCTTCTACACCAAACCAAGCTTCTGCCGCCCTGGCGTCCTCTTCCACAACATCTTCATTCCCGCTTTCCTCCGCTAAATAAAAAATGTACGATGGAGGAGACTCATCCCCGACCTCCGACACTAAACTCTCCTCCTCTTGCATGTTTCCTCTGTCCATAGCGTTCCTTGACAGTGTCGTTTCTAAGTCACCAATTTAGTGCTACTTGGTCCCAATGAAATTTACCATTGGGAACCTACTAGCGCTAAGTTGCTAACTCATTAGCAGCACTGCTTCCGATAAACCGGCCACAACCAAACTTGCTTGCGAACCTTCCGCCACAACAATCCCGCCCCCTTGATAATCAACCAGTCACATTCACTTAATTCACTCGTGTAAAGTCGGGCACCAATCGGGAGAATTTGGAAATGCAACAGCTGATGGTGGCTTTAAGGGAATAATGTAGAAAGTAAAGTCAAATTAAAGTGAGGATGTCAAGACAGAAAAAAAAATATCCTTTTGATGCTACGATGCAACTACATGGAAGTGTTGGTGAGATCCTGGAGGCTGCAGACTGTCTTAATTCAGTTTGATGGGATCTTTATAGACTCAGTTAAGAGCTCAGGGCCCGGAGGGAAAGCTTGGAGTGGAACACCTGCTCATCCATGCTGACAAAAATACAAGCCTTTTGACAAAACCAATGCAGCTTTAGAAAAATCAGTTCTAACATCTCCCTGTTGACTGTTTTTGGAAGATGCCTGAATGGCCCTGGCTTAAAGTGGACCAAAAACATGCCAGTGGAGTTACATATGTCAAAACTGGGAACATCTGAAGAAACCCCGAGAGGAAGGAGAAAGGTCACTGATAAAAAAACATGCCTCTAACACTCTGTGTAACTTATTTTACCACTGTGTACTGACCTTCACATGTAACAGATAACAGGCAGATCGCCAAGAAGAGCCCTTAGCGAACGCTCAGATTTGTTAACTGAACCAAACAGAGCATGTAAAATGTTCTTTACCTGCTGTTTTCGACGGTGGAGGTGGTTTCCTCGGTTTCTGACAGAAAGAAAATAGGAGAGAGAAAATAGGTCAGCAACAGAAACTGAAAGACGACTTTGAGGCTTATGCTTTGTTCAGACTGCAAGCTCTAGAAGCAGCTAAAAAGCTTCTGCTGCTTCATTTTTGTTGGTTGTTCACATTAAGTTCAGGAGAGCATCAAGAGCAGCTTTGCCGCTCCTGAAGCGCGTCCAGTAAAGTGTTTAAAGATGCGGCTGATGCTTCTGCTGCTCCTGTTGCTTCTCCTGTTGTTCAATGGCAGAGTGCTGCTTTGCTATATTTGCTGTGATCAGTGGGTAAAAAGTAGTTTTAACATGTTTTTAGGTGAGAAGGTTCACCTGAAAACCTCATCTGTTCAGTCAGTCCATCAAGATTATGATCCTGCCTTCAAATATTATTTCACTGAGCTGCTCAGAACCCCGTACACCTGCGGTACTCTGGAAATCACGTTCAATGCAGCCTCTTGCTTGGCGGCGTGTTGTGGGTTTTCCGCTACTATTTGTTGCAGTTGGAAGGTGTTTTTCACGTACATAATCCAAACTGCAGGAACCTAAATAATAAAAGGGAATATATTTTGCAGGCAGGTTTTGACATTGATGTGCTGCTTCAGATGCTCAGACGCGCTGCTCAAAACGTGCTGCAGGACTTTTGCTGCACCTTGATGCGTGCAACCATCAACATTGCATGTGAACTAACTGCTTCTGCTGCTTCTAGCGCGTGCGGTCTGAACGTAGCATTACAGCAACTCATTCAATCAAACTTAAGATGACTAACTTTTTATTTTTCTTGGCATAAATATGCATTGATGTCATTAAACTTTCCCCAAAAACACAATATTTACTGGGAATATATATACATTGTTTTTTTGTCTAATAAGAATTTTAAAATGAGCTTTCCACTGATTAAAGATGCTTTAAATCTTCTGCTTGACCCTAAATTTTTTTTCCCTTTTCTGTAGAGAGTTGTGTTTGCTTGTCTTGTTCTTATACCAAGGTAACATCTCTTCTTGTTTCTCTTGGGCTCCTTCTGCCTCCCCATATAAGGACTTTTGGTGAGGCTTACATTTGGAGAACCAAACATTAATTCCCATTTATAATGGCTGAAATCAAACAAGCAATCAGGTGAACGTAATGAGAAGTGGGAGCAAACACCGTGCTGAGATCAAAGGCAGCCGACAGGGATTTACTAAAAAGGTAGCAGCTCACAGGTCCGGTCAGAGATTTTAAGTCTCAAAAGGATCTGAAATCAGTCACTCCTCTAAAAAAGTCAACAATAACGACTTTTGAACACCGACTTTAGGAAAGCACTGCAGTAGAGCCATCTAAGCAGGTTTAACCTAAAAACAGACAGCAAGACTCTAAAAGAAGGATAAAAAATACAAACAAAAAAAAAACCTTTGAACTGAACCCACTTTTAGACAAACAGTCTACACAACCTAAGCTCTCAAAGGACGTCATTGCTCTCTGGGGAAAACAGAAAATGCAAATAAAGCTTCCCAGACAGGAAGCAGACAAACATCAGCAGCAAAAACAGCATTTTCAAGCAAAGGAATGTTGTGCCAGCTTTGAGGCATGGAGCTGGATGCTTCATGTGGTTTGGTTATGCTTCATTGGAGAAGGACCTGAACAGAAGATATCTGATGTTAATCCTCCCAGGACTGAAAGTCCCGAGCTGAGTTCGCCTGGTCAGCCACAATCATTTATTTAACCTTTGATTGATGCTCCTGTTTTCTGTCTGCTTCCTTTTCTTCTCCTTTTAAGCTCCTAGGAGCATAACAACTTCCTGTACTATTAAATCCTACATTTATTCATGTATTATGACTAGTATTTACAAAATAAGACGCCTATGCATACTTTTTATGGATGTTACTTGAAGCCAATGCTGACTTTAAATTAGATGGACAAATGGCACATCCTTTAGTATATAAGGAAATAAAACACTGCTGAATTTAAAGTAACACAGCTGTACGGTTTAGTACGAAGCTCCGTTTGGTCATATTTGCATGATTGGATGAACCACTGCAAGGAATTGAGGTCACACCATTGCACTTAAAGGTATAGTGGAGGATTTTCACAAATTTTTCCAAAGACCCACCCACTCCACTTTAAAAAAAAAATGAACACCTGAACAACCCTGTACCGGCTCCCAAGGGAAGGCTTATTAAATGTGTGCAAGAGCGTGCACAAGCCCATTTCTCCTCCGTTTAAAACTTGTTGCTCTCATAGCTCATACAAGCCTACTGTGCAGAAACGTACGCCCTAACCACTAAATCCCTCAATCACTATACAGAGCGGGGACTGTATAGTGAACTATATAGTGAACTCGTTTAACTTGCCATTCAGACAGATCAGCAAATCCCATAATACTTTGCTAGGAGAGCTCTCAGCGCAAAGCATTCTGGGATATATCTGCCTCTTCTGAGGCCTTTCTTTTCTTCTCATAAAATTCATGGACACTTTTTCTCTTACAACTCTCAATTTTCAAACAACCGCGGTGAGAAAGGTGAGTTTCAATGACTGTCTGAAACACAGATGTATTTATTCACTGGATTGCTGATTGCCCGAAAAAAGTGAAGCCACTGATCACCATGTTGGTGCTCCCCACTCCAACGAAGACGCACAGTAAAAATGCCAACGTTTGTAGCATTTGGCTGCAAACAAGCAGTTTGCCGGCTGTGGGATGATGAGCCACAGATAATTTGACAGTCAGTGGATGAACCAACCAAGAATATGCACATATAGGCAAATGTATTCTATAGTACAGTATAAAGCGTAACAGTCTGGCTATTTTTGGACTGACTCAAAGATATTGACTAAATATGCCACCAACATTGTGTCTAACGTTAGAAAATAGAAAGTAATTGACTGTGAAATGTAAATGTAATAATCTTTATTATGTGGACGTCGCTGTCGTTTTTTTGTAGTGTTTCTTGTATTTCCCATCTATATTGCTTGTTATATTGACGGGGGGGAAAAAGCAACTCAAACATTTTTAAAGGCTAATGCAGACAGCATAAAAGTATATGGAATCATGCACAATTTGCAAATAGGAAAATACTATAGCATGAACAGACATGTACTTGCAATTCAGTCTTGATGTAAAATTTTGAACTTATGTGTAATATGTTAAAACAACAATAATGTCATCAATAAATGTATATTACAAGTACATTATCAATTTTGCACTTATAGCATCTGTATTATTATGCTAAATTAACAAATTAATCTTGGTGTGATGGATTTTTATATTATGTTATATTACATGATTTATAGACTTCTTGCAATGCGATTGGCCTCAGTAGTAATCTACTGATGCAATGAGACAGCAAGTGTGTGTCAAAGTGACGAATTTATCTTTATTTTTAAAGTCTTAAGTCCCCTTGAAAATGAGAACATCATCATGTTCGACGCTGTAGCGCACATATGATTTACATTGTAACCGGTTTAACTAGGGAGTACCAATATGGCTGCCGGTGACTTCACTTCAATCCCGTACTACCAACGCTATCAGCAATGAGGTGAATAAAAAGAGATCAATGGTCTGAAACCGTAGCTCACCACAGATATACGCATTAAAGTACGCATACGCAGAAAGATAGCTAACAGGACAAGCACGTAGGACGGCCTTACGTAAACATATCACCTGAATGATTGACAATTAGGAGGATCAATTATTTAGATGATTCACCCAGAAAAAGAACATCCTCCACTATACCTTTAAAAAAAAAAAAAAAAAAAAATCCTTTCCAACAAAAACACCGTGGCTTTGATTCTATAAATGCATTTATAATGTGATGGAAGCACATCTGCACATTTAGCCATTTAGTAAAAATGCTATAAATATTGATTAATAACTAGAAGGCCTGTAATTAATTATCTTTTAATTGCTTTCTTATCTCTGTGTTCACAGACAAACGCTTTCAGACAATAACAACAATAAAGCTGCCGGCCTCTACATCGCCACGTCATCCAGAGCTGAACTCCAGATGGTTTCGGAGCTCTGCAGAAAGAGGCATTAGGTGCATGTAAGGGTTTGATTTAAACACTCCTCTGCCTGCTTTAGAGGGGATCAGATTAGAGGGACAGGGATCTATCCGGGACTTGTGTCATGGCGGATCAGTTTTCAACAAACTGCTTGTCAGAAAGGTTTTGGCTCGTCAAGTTCTCTCCGAGTAAAAAACATGTAAACAGGAACTCTTCTCGTCATGTCAGAGCAGGTTAGCTTAGCTTCAGACCAGATGTTGATACAGGCTGTTAGATGCAGAGATGTTCCATCTTGCGTTCCAGCAGTTCTCTTTGTGCAATTTGAAGTTAAACCTTTGGCTGCTGATGCAATCTTCAGATTACATGATGCTGTAAAGGCTGAACTACAGTCACGCTTTAAGGTGTAATGCAGGTGTCTGTGCAGAAGCCTGAACAAGCCTGCAGGCGTTAATACTTCATTCTGTTTGATCAGCATCTTTTCCTTACCTCCTCCATCTCTGGCTTTGGCAACAGCTTCACAGATCCTTTGGATGGTGCTGCCTGGAACATAAGATTACAGAATAAAGTGAAAACAGAGGGACGTCACGGTGCACTGGAAAAACGATCTGGAAATAAGTAAAAATGTCTTAAATTAAGTTTATTCACCCTTAATTTGAGTAGGTAAATGAGATAGTTTGCCAATGTAATTAGTATTTTTACTCTTAAAATATAATAATTAGATAATATGCACTTGAAATAAGACAATACATTTGTCTTTTCCTATTTCAAGAGTAAATTGTCTTGTTCCATTGGCAAAAATGTCTCTTACCTCCTCAATCCAACAAAAATGCACTTATAAGAAGAAAAAAATGACTTGTATTGATTTTTTTTTTCCCAGTGTGAACAGTTCTTCCTTTTCGTGTTTAGCTGAGGTTCTCTGATCAGATTCATCATTTCTATCCAATCATTTATTAAATACATCCACATCGACTTCATGGTCATTAATAACGGGTTTACTATCACATGGAACACTTTTAGGGAATCTCTTTCTAATAATAACTTTGGTGATGAAGGTTTCTTTGTTCCAGCCACCATCAACTAGCAGATTCTAAACCTGGAGCTGCTCATTAAGCAGACCTTTAACCCCCCAGAGGAATGATAGACCTAGGTGGCTGATTAGGGCTCCCTGTGGAGGGCTCAGGTGACAGATGATAGATCTACTTACATAGATATTCAACTACTACAGCATCCCAGATGTCACAGAGCTAAACCCATAAATTAACCTCTAGCTACAGTCTTCGACGGGCTGTTTTACACACGGTGGGGTTTGTTTTCTAAGTATGACCAGACTGATGCAACAGAGGAATGAACAGCACTGATGGAAATGAAATGGATGGAACACAACAGCTCACCTCCTTCTCTGTTTCAGGAACAACTGTGACAAAGTTATTAGGGAACACCCCCTGTTTTCCTCCAACCTCCCCTCTCCACCACCCGGGCTCACCGGTATCCTGTTAACGAAGACATGAAGGTTCTTATTCAAGTCTTTTAAACTATAAAGCCTCCAAGTTCCTTCAAAATAAATAGAATCAAACTCTAATTTCTCCCGATAACCACTAGATGGCAGCAGCACACAAACAACAAACTGACCTCTCAGGTTTTTTTATTTTATTTTTCCAATCAGACACCGATTCTAAAACAGTACAACAGAAACTCTGTTCCATAACAACACAAAGCTCTATGGCAAATATTGGGAGGACAATATTAAACACATACATAGTCAATGGGCTCAAGTTCCACTGGTAATAGATAATCTATTGTTAGTAAATGTCAAGTTAAACCAACAAATCTGACAGGTTGGAATGGTTTTAGTATCTCCACACATATGGAGTGCACTCAACAAAGAATCAAGCGCACCCATCCCTTTGGATGGTCAATCTGAGGAGGCTAATCTGTCAGAAAATCCAGTTCACCTGTGCTCACATACTGAACTCTAAGCTTCTCCAAAGAAACCTCTGGGAGGAGATGAAAAATATCAATTTAAAAAGAATAATTTTAATTTAAGAAACTAAAACTTAACTAAAATGTGCTTATTGTTTGATGTAATGTTTGGGGAGTGGTGGTGTAGTGGTTTGAGACGTACGGTTGTGCTTCTGAGAAAGTTGCAAGTACCAGGTTCAAATCCCCACAGCCTGCACTCTGGGTCCCTGAACAAGACCCTTAACCCCACACTGCTCCCTGGGTGCCACACAATGGCAGCCCACTGCTCCCCAAGGGGATGGGTTAAATGCAGAGAAGGAATTTCTCCATCATGAGATCAATGAAGTTCAATTTCTATCTTTCTATGTTTTTGTTTTCTGTTTGAATACATTTATATGCAGTTTGCAAAAGCTTATTTGACCAATTTTCATTAAATGTTAAGTTAGAGCTCAATTATGAAAGGCATGGATTAAAATATAGTTAAATATCTAAAGTCAAATTGATTATTTATCATGTTTTCTGATGTTTAATGTTTGTCTCATCTGGCTTTAGGTTATCTACTGGTGTCCTATGCTTGTTCCAAATAAAGGATGAATAAAGTAATGTGACTAAGCTGGTGTCATAACAAGCTCATATAATTTCTTACAGTTGTTTTAGACAGTATTTGCCTGATTTTACATCAACAGGACAAGATATGCTGATGCTATTAGTTTTTCCTCCTCAATGGCTCCTTTCCACACATTGAGCCAAAATGGGTAATACGTGGATAGAAGGATGCTCACCTTGCTCAGTATGTTCACTATCTCCCCCTCTTTGAGGCTCAGTTCGTCATCATTCTTGCCTTCGTAAGGGAACTTCACCTTACAGCTCTCTTTAGCTGTAGAAACTGGACAGGAAAAAAAATGACAAAATGTTCAATATTTAACAAGCACTACTGAGAAATGTTATAACATCAGGGATGATCTCAAAAAAAAAAAAAAAAAATTCAAGTCAGAAAGCTACCAGCTGGTATAAACAGGAACACAGCCCTTTAGCAGACATTCTTCTATAAACCAAACTTTATCAAAGTCTTGCTACAGCTATATGTAGTCCCCATGGGTCGCATTAACTCAATATTTTCTGTATTTGACCGTTTCTTTTGTTTTTTTTTAAACACGGCAGAAAATCTGAAAGGCGCTTGGTGACGTTTAGTGTAATAATGATCCATTTTGAGTAGATTTCCCCCAGCTGTAGTGAGTCCTTGCTGGAAGCCCTCACCCAGCTGACCGCTCATCTCCTTTGTAAAAATCTCAGATTTTAAATCGATGGCTGAAGCAGAGCTCATCAGTCCAGTCTGTAGTGCAGAGTATGGATTCAGCCTCCAGAACATAAAAAGAGTCAGAAGTCGCCCAATGGATGCAGAAATCCAAATATACAGGAATCCAACTTGACATCAGTTATTTAAAAGCAGTTGTGAAATTAAGGTGTATGAAGCAGGAGAAAAACTGAAAGTGTGTACTTGTGCGTTCTCATGTGCTTGAAAAACATCATCAGCCTCAGCCATTGCACTGTTCCAATTCACAACAAGAAGACTGAGAATGGACAAAGTCCCAGGATGTTGTTTTCGCCCCACCTGCTTTACCCAACATGCATCAGAGCAGTCATGTCCGTTCTTGAGATTGACAGCTGTCCCAGCATGCACTGCGGCAGTGGCAGCTTCCAGGTTAGCGCTCATAGAGGTAAGAGTATGACGTTAAAAGATGTCTTTTCTGTCTCTGCTGTTCTATAAAAGTAGGCTTTAAGATCATTTGAGGCGAGAACATGTTGATGATGCTGAGAGGATTGCAGCGACCCTTTCATCATAGCTGTGTGAAGTACTGCTGACTCTGATGGAGAGTTTTTTGTTTTATTTGGCAAAATGTTCATTTGATTTGTGTTTATCTGACTGTGTTCATTATTATTCTCACACTAAATGAAAAAAAAGAATTTTTCATCCTCTAGAGCAGTGGTCTCCAACCCTGGTCCTCAAGATCTACTGTCCTACAGATTTTAGATGCATCCCTGCTTCAACACAGCTGAATCAAATGGTTGATTACCTTTTCAAGCCATTCATTTAATTAAGCTCTGTTGAAGCAGGGATGCATCTAAAATCTGTAGGACAGTAGATCTTGAGGACCAGGGTTGGAGACCACTGATCTAGAGACTATTAATAACAGGAGGTGAAATTCAGCTCCAGACGAGCCGATTGTGCGGTGACATCATCAGTACGCTTCTGTTCCAATTGACCCATATCTATGCTGCGTGCTCCCGTTCTCACCAAGTCCACACTTTCCTGTATTCTTCCCAAGAACATACTTGGTGAGAACACGAGTCCGTACTCGCGTTCTAGTGAATTGAGAAACGGTCTGCTTTCTTGTGACAAGAAGGTTCTGGGTTTGATTCCAGGGCCCGGGATCTTTCTACATTGAGTTTACATGTTCTCCCTGAGCATGCGTGGGTTCTCTCCGGGTACTCTGGCTTCCTCCCACAGTCCAAAACATGACTGTTAGGTTAATTGGCTTCTCTAAATTCTCCTTAGGTGTGAGTGTGTGCATGGATGGTAGTCTCTGTGTTGCCCTGCGATGGACTGGGGACCTGTCCAGGGTGTACCCCGCCTCTCGCCCGTAGACAGGTAGAGATAGGCATCAGCACGCCTCATCACCCCAGCAGGGATAAAGCGGAAGGATGTAATACATCTTGTCACTGGAGTTTGTCAGTTGTCAGTGCAGAGAAAAAAGCTAGAGGTGTTCATTTAATTGATGTTGATTCTCTGTTCAGCTGATTTGGACTGGATATGAATTTAAAAGAACACTGAGAAAATGACAATGTTCAACATGTTTTGTTTTTTCCCCATATAGGCCTAAAGACCTCACCTGTCCAGAATATCATCATCTACATATTTCCTGTGTTTCTTTCATAGCTTCCCGAAAGGAAGAGAAAACTAAAGCAAATAAAAATCCCCTGAACTGAGTTCAAGAAGCTCTTCATTCCTCAGAAAATGCACAATTCACACCAGTAGGTGGCACCAGTAGCTGCAGCATTTAACCGGAGAATGAAGTCCCTTTAGGGATTATTAATTTAATCTAAAGTCCACAAAGTGAAAATAAACTACATATTATCATGCAAAACATATGTAAAAACTAAATTAATGATATTTCCATCAATATAACTTAAATAATATGATAAGATCTGGGTGTATTTGAAGTATTAAAGCATATCTGTGATGCTTTAATGTAATAAAAAGATCCGTTTGCCAGCTGGAACAAGCTAAATTTACAGAGTTCAGATTGTTGGTGTGTTTTTACCTTTGGGTTTGCCGTCCACCTCCGACCTCTGGGAGTCGCTCAGGTTGGGATGAGCAGGCTTTGCAGCTGATGGTAATGGTGAGACTGGCTAAAATGAAGCAAACCATACAGATGGGGGGGTGATTCATCGGAAATGAGTGAAAATGTGGTTTTTGCACAAAGGAATCTCGACTGGAAGACCGGATATTCTTATAGGAGATACAAGACATGGAGTAGGAATGTCATTCTGTCATGGGAACTGAATGCATGGAAAGTTTAATGGAAGTGGAGACGATAACTGAGTCAGAGCTGCTGTTGGGAGTATTAGTGAACCTGAAGCAGGAGGCAAACAGGTAAGAATCAGCTTTTAAAGCTGGTTCCATGTCACATGAGAGTCTGATGCTGGAGAGAGAAGAGAGGCATGAAACATGTGGTGAGGAGAGAGAAAGAGAGAGAGAGTTTCAACACCAGGTTAACTAATTACACCATTTCAGGAGGCGTCAGCAACACATGAAAGGAAACTAATATCAGAAATTAACATCAACTAGAAGCAGCAGAGGACCTTAGATAGATGGTAAATGTGAACATAGAGAAATGACGGTTTCATCACACATTGGAAACGGCAGCAGATGTTCGTTTAGAGTTTGATTAGAGAGAATCAGGGTTTTAATGTAGCATCATCTTAAATAAACCAGAAGCAGGAATTAGCAGCTAGCAGGAATCAAACTAATTCTGGCCTTTAAGCTATAAGTACTTCATTGAAATGTGGAGTTCAAATATATTCCAGATCAGCCTGTTTTCCAGTGTAGTCCCGTTTCTCTGACTCTGACTGTGACTGGCTGGATGTGCTCTCTTTATCCTATGCAATCAACTTGTTTTCTTTAGTAGAAAACTTTGAATCAGTCTGGCTGTATGATCTGGTGAAATGTAAAGTGCCTTGAGATGACATGTGAATTGGCGCTATGCAGTGGAATCCTTTTACAGTGGTCACGGATATATCAATCAACCGCTTATATAGATCAAAAGGCTTGGGACAGAATCATTTCTATACAAATGCTGCTTAAATAATTTAATTATTGTAATCAAGAAATCCGCTTGTAGTGTTCATTTTTGGCCATTTTATGAATCTAAACGTGCAAAAATAATTTTAAAATTACGTTTACATCCTGGAGGTACAAAAGCGCCAGTGCTGCCCACAGCAAGGAGGGGAGGAGGAGGAGGAGGATGAAGAAGAGGAGACTGTTGTCCCTTCCAGAGCTGAGATGAGGAATGCAGTTTTGACTTTCTCTGTCCATTATTTAGTTTAGGAAATAAAAATTATGATAAAAAGCAGTTATTGTGTGTAGGGAAGTGATAAATGATATCTGGTCTTCATGTCCCCGATGTCCTATATATTACAGAACAAGTTTTCTTTTTTTGCCAGGCTGAGAATGCTGTGTTATGAAGTCCCAGAAATAAACTGACCATAAAAAAAGACCAGAATAAAGCTACTTTATTAATAAACTGATGACTAAGTAGTAAAAAATCCTAAAATTAATATGACTTCATGTAACCCCTGCAACTATAAGGAAGTCTGAGAAGGCTAGAGAGCCACATGTAACATATATTACCACTGCCCCTCCCCCACCAGATGCTGAATGCTTCCAATCAGACCAGGGAAGGATGTTTTCCTGTGTTTCTCTCCTGTTAAAACAAGCTGTTGCTTTTCTGTTAACTATTGCTGGTGATCCAAAGCCATGTCATTGAGTCCTTTTACAAGAGATAATGTTCGTTTTTTATCAGTAACAAGCCCAAATGATTAGCATGTCTGCATCACCTTGTTGGACTCAAAGAAAAAATCAAACATCTCAGACTATTGGTGGGTTTCACTTCAAAGTACAACACTAGTGGGAGGTTCCTACTACAAGTAGCTAAAACATGAGGAACCATTAAAAATTCCTGCAGAACCAGCTGCAGGAGACCTGAATGTTTGTCCTCCAGAGGAACTGAACCACACTTCCTGCTTGCTGAGAATCAGATCAGTTCATCGTGTCTCAGACACGAGTCCTTACACGCATTAAAGAGAACTAACAGGAACCTCCTGGGCTTGCCCCACCAAGTCCATCTAGAACTTTGAAACAGCCTCTTCTAGCCTAATACAGTTAGGTTATGGATGCTGTTTTTTTATTTTTTATCTTATCTTTTATAGGGATCTCTTTTAGCCTCTAGTTCTGATTTTAGTGCCATTAATCCACACCTCCCCTAAATTTCATATATGAATCTTCAGCTAAACTTTAATAGAAATCAAACCTTATGCAGATGATGCAGTGATTATCTGCAAAATCCTTTGACAAACCAACAAATTGTCAGGCTAAAAGCTTCCATCTAGGTCTGGGCAATCAATTGGATTTGCAATATGATCACAATTGACTTAAACGCCATTTTCAAATCGCAGAGGGACACTTTTTTAATCACACTGTATTTAACAACGGTAAGAAATTAAACCTTTCGCTCCAAAACGTTCCAAATGGGTTGGTCGTCACAATGCAAGGTAGGGAGCTGCAGCTAGCATGCAGGTCCATGTTGACAAGTAGAAATAAAGTATTTTTCAAACGAAGATTACAGTAAAGTCCTGCAAGAATGGATTCTCGAAAGGCAAGCGTTCAAAAACTGAAAGACTTTGGTGAAAAATCTATAAGCTTGGGTTTAATGCAAAGGAAAAAATAAAATCATAATTTTCGTTAAAAATAATCACATTTTAGATTTTTAGCTAAATTGATCAGCCTTACTTCCATCTACAAGTTAATTAAGACAGAGAAGCTTTTATTTAGATCTATTTAGTTGGAAAAGACTCATTTTACACCGAGACGTCCCCGTTAAACTCGTCCAAAACGGAGAAAATTTTCCAGCAGCATTTTCTGAAACAATTAAAACCAACCCTGAATTTAGCATCTGCTCAGGAACAGGTTGCTGCCTCTGAAATGTGTCGGGTGATCATTTCATGTCTTGCTTAAATGCAGAAGCTGCAACATGTGCTGATGAGAGCAGAAATACGTGTGTTCACAACAAACAGGACATGAATCTGACGCCAACAGGAGGGTTTGCTCCTCACTGGAATCCTGTTTGGCTCAGAGGAGTTGATTTAACCTTTGGGGTCCCATTTATCAAGGTTCTGACCGGCAGGGCTGTGTAAGACTGTACCTGTGATGGACTAGCTTTGTCCTTCTCTGGCTCCTTGCCTTTCCTGTCCTCTGCAATGGGGCTGTTCCGCGGCCTCAGTTTGACAGAACCGTCTTTGAAAATGTCTCCGAAACCGACACCTATGATCTTTTTGGGCTGATGGATGGCTCCGTTTCCTGAGTCCGGCGGAGGAGATGTGGGAGTGACAGCAGCTTCTGTTCCACTTCCATCTGCAGGGAGACACAACAGAGTAAGAAGAGGGGATGAGCTGCTCCTCAGAGAAAGAATAGGAATCATTCGCTACTAGAACACTGATTATGAGCTGAATTAGAGTGGACATCACAAACTAAAGGAGTCTGACCAGATGGGTACGGTAGGAAAAAAATGAAATCAGATGGACGGTGGAGAAACCGGTCCAAGTTCTGCTGTTGTGGAGTATGAACCTACAGCAGAGCTCAAACTGTGGGGATTTATGGAGTGCAAACATCTTTTTCTCTAGGGCTGCACTTATCAATTATTAAAACAATCTATCGATGATCCTTTACATTGATCTAAAGTGAAATAAAGTGTCTAAATAAACATTTGGAATGAGCATAAAAAGGCTGCAGCACTTCTTAATAGAGATCCACTGGTATAGTTGTTTTTTTTTTAGGTCGATGTTGAGAGCGACTATTTTGAAAATCTAACCTATATCCGATATGTGCAGCCTTTGATGGCTCATTCTTTAGGCCGACATTTCTTTCTCTTGCTCCAGGAAGGAGGAAATGACTTAAGGGGAGACTCAGGGGAGTGGAGGACTTGGAGTTAGGACACAGAGCTTGGAATCCTGAGGTTCTGAGTTCGAGCCCCACTCCCACAGACTGCCACTCCGAGTCCCTGAGGAAAGACCCTTATCCCCTGATTGCTCCCAGGGCGCCGCACAATAGCAGCCCAATGCTCCCCAAGGGGATGGCTCAAATGCATAGAGTTCATTTTGTTACTCTGTACTTGTGACAGTTTAATGACGATAAAAGATGGAAGATAAAAAATTAAAAAAAGGTCAACAGGTTGATAAAGAAGGCTGGAAACTCTGGAGATGAAACTACAAAGAAAAGAAAAAAAAAGAATAGCCCTATAAAGAACCATGAGCAGCCTCTTCATAAGCTTGTCTGACTACAACAGAGCGCCTTCTGCACCATCACTGCCTCGACAGGAGATATATCCTCCTTGGCGAACCTTGAGCTTTCCTCTGCATCATTTACTGAGGAACCATTCTGCTCCTCTGCATCTTTCATTCTGTGGTGCAGCGTGAATCAGGAAGCGGATTGAACCAAACCGCACATCAACTCAAGCAGATGGGTCGACTAGGCGCCTATTTCTGTCTCATCTTAGCAGCTGTCTTCTTATCAGGCATGACTAGCAGCTGAAAAACTTTAAACAACATGAAGAGGAGGAGTATCATATTATATAACAGATATCAAAGGGGTGTAGATACTGTCAATAATCTAAGGAGTTTGGGTTTATTCAGCAAAAATGGATTTTACTACAGCTTCCAATGTGAACTGAGCCTGCTAGCATAGCGTAGAGCAGAGTGTGGAACAGAGCAGAGCCAACCAGACCTCAGCCTGATTAATGAATATGTATGCATGACTAGTTCTCAGCAGACGTGCTGAGACCAAGGTAACCATATTGTAATTTGGACCCAGCATGGAGCTCTGGCACATTTAGCCGATCACGCTCCCACTGCTACATGCATGCCTTCATGTTCTACAGAACAATACCAGCCAACCAAAGATCACCGGGTTATGCTTCTCTGACGTGGGACAGCTTTGATTGAAAAACTTTAATAGTGAATCAAAGAAATATGACACAAAACAAATCTCTAACGTCAACAGCTGTGACTTAACAACAGCACTGAGTGTTTTTTTTATTTCGACTGTTATACAGATGTTTCCAGAGGTTGGTAAAGACATTTGCTATAGAGACATTTAAAGGCCTTCCCTGGAAAATTAACATCTATTTCGCTCTAAAGTCTTCTGATCATGTTTTCCCTTTCTCCATCTATGAATCCAAGTAAAGCATCTCCACAGCATGATGCTGCCACTAACATGCTTCACAGTTTAATGCACATCTGTTTTGCAGATGTCCAAAGTGTGGGTCATTGTTTAATGGAAAAAAATCCGGTCATTACTTTATATATGAAATGATTACATACTGATCAATGAATGTGATTTTTTATTAAGAGTAATTTTCATTTGAATGTGCTTTACTGGAGGCATCCATGTTTGTCAAAGAACACTACTGCCACCTACTGGTTTGTGACGTCACGGTGCGGTATCGGCTGTTGATCAAGTCCCAGTGCTGTATCTGGTGTTTGTCACTACGCGCTATTATCCAAGTTATCTTGAAAACATTCTTCTTCCAAATGTTGGCTACATATTACGGGTTTTTTCTATGGCCAGAAGTTTGATGGCAAATCCTCCCTCTTTAAGTTGGCAATCCAACGACCAAGCCGTCCGTGGAGGATCAGGGATCAGAAAGGAGAAATAACTCTTTTATTTTCACTTTTACCCGATGTATTCCAGCATCCAGCTGCCATGCACGTGGGCATTGTCAGTTTCACTATAGCTCTGGTGAATTTCAATGGTGAAGTCCTCTGGAAATCTTCAATAATTGTTGTTGATTGCAGATGTGTCTAGTAGTTCCCATTGATTTAGCTTGTAAAGCGGGAGAATGGCGCTAGGCTTACCGCACCGTGACGTCACTGCTGGAAGATGGCAGGAGGGAGGGGTTACAAAATTTGGGCAAAAATGGCCGCTCCCACACTAGGTGATCGCCACGAAAAATATATTTATTTTTTTACTGGTTAATGCTAAATTCATTAAATCACCGCAAATGTATTAGTTTTAGGTATAAATAATGACCCATTGATTATATTTTTCTGACGCAACTTTTCCTTTAATAACCCAACTTTTTCTAAGTTTTCACTGGAGAATATCTTTATAATAGTCTTTTTATTTGACCCTTCATGAATAAAACATTGTTCGATGAGTAGACTGACACCTAAGCAGTTATTTACTTTCAGTCTGAAGCTCCCACACCGTTCAGCGGTGGGAAATCAAGCAAGTCCCAGTTGGATGGGTCCAACTTAGCAAGAAATCAAAGCCTTATATTCAAGATGGATGTTCCGGACACTAAGAAGGGACCTGCATCCATCTTAGACACAATGAGAACTCCACATGAGGTAAAAAAAAAAAAGTAAATAAAAAAAAAACGAGCAGAAGACTGCTGCAGTTCTGTGTGTTGACCACAGGAGGCAGTATCATTAGGAATTATCCACAACGTCCATCTCCTATGGGTACAAGGAATCATAGGAAATGTCGGATGCCAAAGGATACTCCTGATGCATCCTAAAAATCAGCCAAAGTTTGAAGAAGCCTTGTCTGCACTGGAACCTGTGATGTCATCACCCACAGTAATGGAAACCAGTTATAATTTCCAACTTTCCAACTCTGCTCTACTTCGTGTTGGTCTATGGCATTAAATATAAATAGGATTATAAGTTCCAGGGGTATAAATACTTTGCATCTCTGTCGTGAACAGCCTTTAGGCTCAGGATGAACCGGATGGAATAAAAGCAGATATTTAAGTATCTTTAGGGGAGGTTGGAGAAGATAATAACCTTTTAGTCTCTTTGAACTGTAAAATAAAGGAACTAATATCCATTAAGCCAGTAAAACATCCTGAGCAGCTTCCTTTCAAACTTTGACATTTGCTCCTATGCTGCCAACAGCTGCCTCAAGAACTGTTTTGGTAACAAACGGTCCAAATGTCAAACCCAGCATAGCGCTGTCTGCCTGTTGCTGTCTGAGCTGCAATGCCTCCAGCATTACCAGACTTTTCAGAGACCGTGTCGTTTGCCTCTGGCTCCTCTCCTGCAGCCTCCAGCTCCTTGACAAAGTTGGATGGGAACAGTCCTGATTTGCTGTTGAGGGTCCCGCTCCACCAGCCCTCCTCAACCTGCAACAAGGACAGAAGTAAGAAACTTTATCCGTTCTTCTGTATGTGGAATAAGAAAGTGATCTAATTGCCTGTTTGAAACACTTCTGCATGTTCTAACCTGCCAAACTAAAATCAGGAAACAATCTGTGCTTCTAAACGGCACAAACATGTAACATTAAACCTGTAAGGTAGCAAAAACAAACCTAGCATGCAGAACTTTTACTTCTCTCAACCAAAGATTCTATGCATCATAATTAACATTTAACTCACCTCTTCAAGGATGTCAACAATGTCTCCAACTTTCAGTTCCAGTTCGTCATCGTTTAAGGGCTGGTAGTCAAACAGCACCTTGCACTGCCTCTTCTTTGGTTCTGTTATGAAACAGATAAAATATCAAAATAAAATAATGTATCAAACTGCAGGTTTCAAACAGATAAAAACTGCCTGCTTGCTGTTGGGTCTCCGCTAGCTCTGAATGCCTGAGTCTATCAGCTGGGACAGATGAGAAAGCAAAGGAAGGTGTTGAATCGGCTCAGAGACCCACCCCACGGCCCACTCAGGCTGACACACCCAGCCTGAGAGCCAGAGGGGAGGGCGAGTGTTTGGGAAACAGTAGATTTCAGAAGCATAAAACCAGAAAAACAACCCAAAAAACACAATGAACTGATCTGCAGTGGAAAACTTTCCTACCGAGTTGGACCGATACAAACAGAAAAACAACCTTAGGAATTAAACTGAAGCTACAGAATATATAAACATGTTCTACTAAGGAAATCCATGTGGATGCTGGACTCTGAAATCTGGTAGCGTTCAGAAATAAACATCAGATTCTCATCGTCAGAGACCCTAAAATGAAACGGATGAGAACAAAAAAACAACCATAACAAAAATAACCGATAAGGACAAAAAGCCAGCCGCCACGCCATGAAAAGAGACCAGCAGCAGAGCAACAGCCACGCCATACCGCTTCGCCCATTAACAATGGAGAAACTTTCAAAAGACATAAAGCAAAAAAGACCAATGAAACTTGGAAAACCTAAAGAAGACGAACTCCTAACTCTCAATAGATCAACGCAAGAACATGCCCGCCCACCTAGCAATACCACAACCGAACGCCCAACCAAACACCTGAGGTGAGCTACAGTTTCAGACAGTTATTCAAAGTCAAAGTCAACTTTCTCACCGCTGTTCTTTGAAAATGGCCGAGGGTCGTAAGAGAAAAATGTCTAATTTAAATGCGGTTTGGTCTAATTGTTGAGTAGACGTCTTTCATCACACCGCTGCTAGGATTTAAAACCGTCAGTGAGCAGAGCTTCTTCTGACTAAACGAACCAGTAAATCCTCCTTGCCCCGCCCCCGCCCGTTGCTGCACAGAGCTACTGTGTTTTCCTAAAACCCTACATAAAAAAAAACACTTGTTTAAGACAAGAACATTTCCAGTCTTAAAGAAACACAGTTTAGGGGCAGAGTCTAAAGTCTTCCTATAGATTATATTATAAAATATTTTATTTTTAATATTGTGATAGTCAGAAATTGAACCGGAGGTTGTCGGAGTCGGGGTTTCCTACCAGCCCACGTTGGCTGGAGTTATTGTGACCCCTACAAGCTGCAGTCACAACAACACTCTACAGGTCTGAATAGTTTCACTGAGGGAGAGGATCCACGTTAGCTTTAAGCGTCACTGAGGTGTTAAACAAACGGGTCAGAGGAAAACGGATTTAGAAAGAAAAAGTATTTTCTAGGACACGTTGAGACACGTCTGAGGACTGGAAGGAGTCAGCAAAGTGGCAATATTTCATATTTTTAAGCTTTTAACCTCTGTGGTAGGGCTGGACGTTATCACAAAAAGTTCTATTATAAAGTATATCCTAATTTCAGTTCATACGACATAATTGTAAAATCGATAAAAACAGAATAAAGGCCTTAGAAAGACTGATGAGAACAACAACCATGTTCTTTGAAGCTCCTTCAGTATATGATATTAAAAATATTTACTTTAAAAAACAAAAACGCCAAAATATATAAAACCTGGAATACTGTGAAGTAAATCCAGGTACAGAAAATTTAATTTCACTGTTAGATTTGTCGATATTCTGCTCTGGATCCTTCTGTTGATGCGTGTGAAAAGTCAAAAGAAAATTTATGTTAGAAAACATTAAAAAAACAAACATTTAAAGCTGACAGAAAAGCTCCATGTCTTGTTAAATATAATGTCACAAAGCATATCTGGGACTTTCATAATCCCAGCGCTTTTAAACACTTCTGTTTACCCTGAAACAGACAGAGGTACCTTATCTCACACGAGGTTAGAGAACTGCAGCTCCGCTTCAAGTTTCACTTCATGAATTCATATCGCAGCTCTGAGGAGCTGAGCTTTGTTTGAGAACAGAAACTCTTAAAGATAGCAGGAAGAGAAGCAAACACAAACTCTGTGTCATAGTATCACTGAGCAAGACTGGACACATGGGAGGTATGCAGCTCACACACAGCATGAAGGAGCATGTAGGCCCCCACAGCGACCCCTCCAAACGAGCACACATACCCGTTCACTTTCTGGGTTTCAACAGACATCAATTAGCTGGAATCAACAGACTGGCTTTTTGTGCAGTCATTTGTTTATTTATTTTATTTGATTAATTCCTGTGGGGTGGTACTCATAAAAGCATCTGTTGCATCGTCAGCTTGTCTGAATCAGTGGAAACTAACAGAAATATAGAAATATTTTACTAATTTCAGCAGCTAAACAAAAATTAACCTCTTAAAGTCGTAGGAAGCGGCTGTTCCAACCGTTGCATTTCCGAATTGCAATCAGGTGGAACCACTATTTTAAATCTCACCAAGTCTAATTTATAGGTGAATAAACAAAGAAAAAATGAAAAATATTTAGCCTCACCAATTTTGTTTCCAAAATAAACACTACAAAACACCATTCCAAACTCTGGATGAACCCTCAGACCTTATAGATCCACATCTTGACTATAACTCAAGCAAATTTGGACTGAATAATTGAAGCATGTGTGTCCAAACATGTTTTAGTGGGCAGTGTGCTAGGCTGAAACGTGATTGCGGCACAATGCGAAAAGTGCAAAAATGCATTTTTTCCACTCATAGGAGGAAAACAACTATGCTGATTTACATTATTTGAGACCTTCTGCATAAGAAAAAAAGTCTTTGCTCCAAATATTTGGCCGCTGTTTCATTCATATTTACCAATATCACCAAACTGAATAGAAATTAAGAATAACAG